CTACTCCTTTTCACCACAATCGTATAGTTGCCTATTTAGAAGTGGATGCGAACCACTGACACAAGTATTTTCAGTCCTTTGCTCTAACCGAGTTACCTAACCAAAAACAAAACTGCCATCCTATTATCAATCCAGATACTGCAGACACGTCCATAAAAAAACAGTTGAAAAAGTCCTAGTGTGAGTATGCCCTTGGCGTCAACCAGCTTACCCCATACGCGTGTTGATGTAACATATAGTTTTGAGTCTTTGAGATTGAATTTCATTGAAATCTAGGCGGACATAATGTAACACAACAAGAACAAGGTATTAAAGACAAACTTGGAAAAGAAGGCACCCACTACCGAACAAAAAAGGCTGATGAAATCAAACAAAAGAAAAAGGGGGAGATTTATCCAGAAATTCGCAAGAAACAGAAAATGAGCTGGAAAAAAGGGATAACCTAGAAACAAAAGTGTGTAGCTTGCGTGATATCTGAATGGTACACAAATGTAACTGTTTTCATAAACAGATCAAAAGTTCGAGTCCTGTGAAACACCAACAATGTAAGGGGGCTGCCCCCCCCCCCCCCTGGGAAGATGAACGAAAAGAGTGTGGGCCTCAGTAAGTCTGGCTGGTCTTAAGTACGTTGGAACTGACCGTTCGGTGGATGATTTTGTCCGCAGTAGTGTTGAGGCCGGATGCGACTTCCTGAACAAGGTTGTTGGACGATGACAAAGGATCGAGCGATCGCAGCTTCACTTCAATAGGAAAAAGGCAATTGCAGGTATCCAGATCTAAATACAGCCAATCTACACAGAGCTTGCAGCCTGAAAAAACAGGAACCAAAACAAAGTTGATTAAATAACTTAAATTCCTTGTCCCCATCTTCAGCTGGATGCGATCGCAGAGCTGGCACAGTGCCACCCTCCCAACACCACCTGTTGCATACTTCAATGAATATGGGCAGAACCAAAGATCAACCAATGTAGGATGAGCATATATGCAGCGGAAGTCTGATGAACGGACTGACTCACATAGCATCACTCCACACACATACAATCGTGCGGTGGTGGGGTCTGAGCCATACATAGAAGATGCTCAGCCCCCGTACACATACACAGATGAATGGGGAAGGAGAGACGAAGAGGTGGGGGAGGTAGACAGCACCGAAAGTCACCGAGATAGAATCTGATAGGTCACCGATATGGTAGTCCAAAATGTCATCCAACAAGATCAAAATGTCGAGGACCATAGGTCACCAATGTCGGGGATACAGAGKCCAAATGTAATCGGTGTCCGAACTGTGATGTCGCCAAGTATCAACCCCAACGATCTCCAAGTCTCCAATCTGGTAAGTACCACAGTCTCATACCACCGAAGTCCAATACTGATCTCTGTCCAACTACTATAAGTCTCCAATCTGAAGAAGAAGAAGAAGAAGAAGAAGAAGAAGAAGAAGAAGAAGAAGAAGAAGAAGAAGAAGAAGAAGAAGGAGCCGAGGAGGAGAGAGAGAGAGAGAGGGGACTGGCGAGGGGAGGGAGGAGAGAGGCCTCCAACCCCGATACCTCAGGCGGCTATGGCCGCCGGCACACCCAGTCGCCGCTGCTGCTGCTCGCCCGCTGCTGCGCTAATGCTGCGCTGCTGCTCCTCGCTGCTCCTGCGCTAAACTTRGCGCCAGCGCTGTCTCGCGCTGTACCATACCATACCGGTAGAATGCCGGTAGGTCGATGCCTCGAAGTGAGGCCGGACCGGTTCTTTATACCGGTGGGCAGAGGCCGACCTCACTGCTGCGAGGCCTGGCCGTGCCCTGAACCGTCCAGATGGACGGTTCAGCCCCAACCGGCGGGCGGCAGCCTCAAGAGCGCCGCCAGGCCCAAACGGTAATGTCGTTTGGGCCTGCCCGTCGGGTCTGGTCCAAGGTGAGGCCTTTATGGCCTGTAGTACCCCAAGGTCGGGCCTTTAGGCCCTGGTGTGTCCCTCTAGCCCTAAGTCGGGTCCGGTAGGACCCGTGTGGCATCGAAGATGTAACACCACCCCACCCCGCCCCACCCCCCAGCGTGGGGCACAAACATTAAAAACAGCCTCTAAATGGAGCTGCATGGTGATTGGCTGGGTGGGATCACCGATTGAATCAGCCAGAATTGACACACAAGTTTTCAAAGCCACAAGGGGCCTGACAGAATGTTCACCGATTTGTTCTTCAGTCAAACATTTCTGACAAATCCCTACATGATATGCACACTACAGCGTTTCTTTCTCAGAGACACCATCTTAATTCCCTTCTACTGTATTACCTGTTCATCCATCTCCATGATCTCCAACGATAGGTTCTAGTTGACCACGACCTACTAAAACAAGGCTCTCCACCGTTTCGAGTCCTGTGTTGCAAACAATGCACACATAGCAGGTAGTGGCGGTGTCTTGTCTCACTCACAAAAGGCCCAACGATGCCAACGTTCATTTATCCAATTCCGGTATCCTTCTTGACCCAAAACAGAAAAATACACGGCTTGATAAATAAAATACAGGTCCATGGCAGGTTAGGGTTTAGGGTTTAATGAACTTGAATCATTAAAAAAAAGAAAGGGAAAGGGGAGGAGGCACAGACAGGCGTGAAGCTAGGGTCTAGGGTTTAAGCAGAATTGATCAGATCAGATGGAAAAAGCGACCATGATTTCATTTTTATACATAGCAGTTGTGTCTTTTGATTTTTGTTTTTCAGTAATGGCCAGTTTTTGTAGCTGGTCCGGCTGTTCAAGGAGGTCTTGGAAGACCTTTCGTTATTGGAAAGAGTAAGGGACGCTGGACCACCGAGGAAAGGTCCAATTTTTTTGAGGCGATAGCAGGTCTGGAATGCCCTTAGATGTCCCCGGCCGCATGCGCGCTACACTGATTTAATCCAAGGAGTCGCTTTAAAAACAAAAAACAAATAAGCCATGTCCATCCCAGTGGGGATATTGACAGCAATGTCCTCTGTTGCTGCACACCTCAGCAGGAGAACAAATAGTGCAAAAAAGAGCAATTCATTTGGTATTATGGCGGTCACCCACAAAATTAACAAAGCTTCAGAGCTGTCATGAAGGGGAATAAACTTCAATAAAGTGATAACTTCAGGTGAAGAAAATGAATGGGCCTTTCAACCACAACCAACAGGATCGTACGTATACTTTTTTTTTCACACAAGAAAGCGTCTTTAGATTGGTGTTACGGCCTTGTACTTGGAGAGCCGTATGCAATGAAAGTTGTGCGTACGGTTCGGAGGAGAGAAAAAAAAAAAGCATTTGGAATTTTGTGACATCCAGCGTCATCAAAGTGACCTCAGATTATTCATGCAGTGCTTACTTCTTATCTTATCTTTCATTCTTATCTTATGCTACTCTTTATGGTAATGCCTGCTCTTATAGGTGGGTTTGGAAACTGGTTTGTTCGTAATTTAATGGGAGCGCCTGATATTGCAATCAGACTCGCTTTCATTCACACTTTTCATGCATGTAAACAGCAGCGGAGCAAACTGGCGACATGCGCCCACTCAAAACTCAGAGATATGGCATCCAGATACGAGTTCACTTTCAATTGGCTATGGCGACTCAGCGCCCAAACAACTCACTGTTCACATACACCGGATCACCCTGGATATCCCACACGCGACTCTCTGAACTCATGCACACACACACTGAACACTAAACTACAGCTATGGCAGCTATGGCTGCCTCTACCCTATCGCTATGCTACGCTCCTTCTCTCTCGCCCACTTCAGCTCCGGGCTCACTGCAGACCGCCTTGCACAAGTCGCTGGGGCAGCGCTTCCGCATGGCTCACGCAGGAATGAATGAAAGGCTGGGTGCTGCCTCTTGATTTATACTTCTGAAACTCGTTGGTCTGCCCTCTTCCATCGGCCCATGGTGCTCACAGTCCCTTGTGGTACTTGCTGGACCGGACTGGGACTGACTGGACCTTACCGCTGACTAAGTGGGGACTCACTGCTAACCTACCACCGTCGTACTGCAATTGCACTGCAGTTTAGTCCACCACTTGACTCACCACTTGCCCACTTGCTGACCTTCTAGAAGGCTACAGCTAGGACTTCTAGACTTCGCTAAGACTTCTATCCTACAGGTCTACAGATCGAACCCCTGCTACCTACGGACCTATGACAGCCTATCAACTGTTTACGAATACACAGGTCACAGGTTCAACTCTCGGGGTCTACACAGGTACTGTACACAGGTAGGGCAAGGTCTAGGGATCGAACCCTGGGATCAGCGTCTGCTACTGCAAACAGGTCACTCCCCCCGTCCTAAATTCGAGGTCCTCCGAGAATATTTCAGTCCAAGGCAGGACCTTTACCCTTCTTATCACGCTCATAGGCTCTGACTATGTCGGGAGCTGTTTCTAGAAGTTCTGTCCTTGTAAACCAGCGGTCGTCTTCCGGTTCTTGATAAGCAAACCGGACCTTATACTGTTTCTGGGGACGACCTCTACCTCCTGTTCTGAACACATCCTCATGTACAATGCCATCAATGTCATAACTTCCGTCCATATCCGGGGGGATCATGGATCTTCTTTTAGGGAACTGTTGACTTGTGACACACGGCAACAGCTTTGAGGCATGAAATACAGGATAAGTGTGGAGGTGCGCTGGAATCTCTATAGTGTAGGATGGACCTCCGCCCTTGACTTCTAGAACCGGCCACGGTCCTCTATATGCAGGCAGTAACTTCTGTGAGATGTTCTCCTCAGGTGCAAACTCTTTAGACTTGACCCAGACTAAGTCGCCTACCTGAAACGGCGATGGGTGACGGTGCTTATTAGCCTGTTCTATCATTCTGTGCTGGGCCTTCCTGAGGTTTTCAATAACGGTTGCTATCTCTTTCTCATGCGGTATCGCGAACTCCCTGGTAACGGGCGGTAGCCTGTGAATCTGATCCCGGTTCAGCCCTTCAAACGGTCTGTGCGGTCTAAAGGACTTGTGTAACTCATTGGGAGTGCGACAGGAAGACAGATGCACACTGTTGTTATAAGCACTAGCTACCTTGGGTAACATCTCGTCCCAGTTGATCTGATCCGGTCTAATGTACATGAGCAGAACTTGCTGCAGGATCTTGTTCATCTGTTCAGTCTGACCGTTAGTTTCTGGATGGCGGCCAGACTACATCAGCAACTTTGACCCATAGACTCTCATAAGTTCCTGCCAGTTCTGGCTAGTGAAGCGGCTATCTCTATCGCTAACTATCGACAACGGGACTCCATGTTCACTGACCCAAAAATCAAAGGACTTCTGAATGACTAATTCGGTACATGCCTCTGCAGGCAAAGGAATAAAAACAGCATACTTACTAAAACGGTCAACTATGACCATGACTTGGCTCTTGCCATGCCTACTCTTGACCTGAGTATCCATGAAGTCTATGGACACGGAATCTCCCGGCGGATCAGGAATAGGCAGAGGTCTGAGAAGACCTAGAGGTGAGCGCGTAGTAGTCTTATTCCTCTGGCACACTTTACAACTGCGAACATACTCTATGCAGTCATTCTTCATCCCTGGCAAGGTGTACGCACGCATCAGATTGGCTAATGTATTTTGCCAACCAAAGTGTCCCTCTGTGTCATGGCATTCCCCTAGGATCAGACTGCGAATTTCCTCACTGTTGGGAACGCATAGGCGGTCGAATACATCCGTCTTCTCAAACAGCAATCCTTCTGTAGTGCGGTAGTGTGGTTTGGTCTCTGGGGCCTCCTTAACTCTCTTGAGGAGGTCACTATAGATAGGGTCCTGCGCATACGCTTGCCTCACTTTCTCCTGCAGGTCTCTCCAGATAGTGTACTA